TCTCCCCTTTTTGGCCTTCTCTTCTCCAGGCTGAACCCCCCCAACTCTCCCAGCCTGTCCTCCCAGCAGAGGGGCTCCAGCCCTCCCAGCATCTCCGGGGCCTCCTCTGGCCCCGCTCCACCAGGTCTATGTCCTTCCTATGTTGGGGGCTCCAGAGCTGGACAAGAAAGAAAGACATCAGGGCGCAGAGGACATCCTTCCCATCCTGGCTCTCCAGACGGCGATGAGCAGAGTGAGGAGAAGTCCCCGGGCAGCGGAAGGTGCCGCCTGCTTGGCCGCCCCGGCACCGGGCATCAGGACGCAGCCGCAGCCTCCCGGGTCACTGCAGCAGCTTCTGTGGTGCCGCACCACTCTCGACACCTCCATCCTCTCCTGCGATCAAGCTTTTATCACGCAGCGACTCCTACCACGCATGCGCAGGGCTCGCTGTGGGATTCCCCGCCTGATTTATCGCTCTGCCCGTACCGCTAACCTTGCTTTCAGTCTGCAAAGTCACATCTATTATTAATTGGCAGCCGGGCTGCTCCTCTCAGCGCTGCGCCGCGCCGCTCGCCGCTGCTCTGGGTTTGCGAGCGGCACGTCCCGCAGCCACAGAAGAAGCGGTGCCAGCCCGGCGCTGCCGGTGCCGGCTCTCTGTGCCGGGCAGGACATGCGCTGTGCCGCGCAGCACCCGCAGGCACAGGGACTGCTGCTCCACGGGACCCTTTGTCCTCACCGCCACCTCATGCGGGGCCGGCAGCCCCGTGCCAACATGCTCTCCCAGACGGACATTTTCACATATCTTTCCTTTTCCAGCAGGCAGCGGTTGACCGCTCTGCGCCTCTCTCCAGAGAGCCCCTCGCAACGGCTCCTCTTTGGCTTTTTCCCTCTGGAGAAGGAGCCGTCGCCCGCAGACACCCCCAGCGCGGCGCCCGCCACCTCCGTACCTGTTGATCAGTGAGACGATGGCGGCAAAGAGCTCCTCGTAGAGACCCGAAGCCATCCCCTCCACACACTCCGCACCCGTCATCTTCGGCCCTGGCGCAGGCGGAGAGAAGAGCAGGCAAAGCCACACCATTTATTTCCAGCCGAGTTGAGCCCACACGGAGCCCAGCCGGCAGCAGGACAACCCGTACGGCTCCCGGTCCCTGCCCGCCACGCACGGCATCGCGCCCGTGACACAAGCGGCGCATTCCCACCCGCCTGCCTTCAGCCCCTCTACTGCCTCCTGCCTCACGTGTATTTAAGAAATTAAACTACTGCCGTGTTAAAGGCCGGTTCTGCAAGTTCTTGCTTTTCTCAGAATAACTTGCAGAAACCTGGTTGTCATTCTGCCCCCGAGGATGAGTCCGGCGTGGAAAGGCTGAGCTTAAAGCCGGGCGATGCCTCGCACCCCCCGCCACGTGCACGCTGGATCTGCCTCCGTGAATCACAGCCATTTATTAATTCGGGGTTCCCAGTGGCTCAGCAGCAGTTGGTCCAACAGGAGCACAACGCCCCGCGGTGTCCGGGTCTCCCTGCAGGACACGGGTGCACGCTGTGCACCACCCACACAGTTTTCTCTGTGCCCTCCTGCTTTAGGGAGTTTTCCCCCCTTTTCTCGGGAGAGCTCTCACGGCATTTAAACCCCATCACTCATCTGCCAGGGGCATTATCCCAATTCGCCTGACCTTTGGCTGTCCCTGAGGAGTGACGGGCAGGGTCGGCTGAGGGTAGCTACATGACAGAGCAGTTAATAATTTAATTAATGTGAACATGCTTAAACGGACCTCACTGCCTAAAAAGAAAAGCGCAGAGCGCAGCGCTTCCCAATCACCCATAAATGAAGTAAAAAGGGATGCAGCATCCCGGTACCTGCCGGGCTCTCCTCCGCCGGGGGCAGCCAGCTGCCTCGTGCCGTGACCTGCGCCAGGATCTGCTTCAGGTGGTGTTTGAAGACGGCGGTGGTGAGCTCCTCCAGGTCGCAGCCCAGCACCTCTGCGGCATCGCTCGCGCGCTCGAACGTCATGAACTGCTTCCTGCCGACTGGGGAGGGGGACGCGGGCAGCACCCAGGGCTCAGGCACAGCCAGCCCGAGCGGAGCGGGCGCAGGCTCGGCCCCTCCGGCAAACTCCCCTGCTGCTCACTCCCACGCGCAACCCTCCCCCAAACCAAAATAAAACAAAACACGAAAAGAACTGCTGCTTGTAGCACGGGACTGGGAGGCGGATGGGGATGCTGTACCTCAGTTTCCTTTCATCCCCCCCCAAGACTGCTGCATCAGCCCTTCCCGCGCATCCCTGCGGGGCAGGCTGAGAGCCGGCGCTGCCCTCGCCCGCCCGCTCGGAGCAACGACCCTGAGGACCACAGCCTGGAAAGGCCCTTTGGGCGACGAGCTGGCCTAGGCTTTGCGGGCAGGAGCTGTGCCGGGGGGCGGGGAGGGGGTCTCTGCCCCCCAGCAGCGCTTGGGCACTCGCCTGAGGATGCAAACCAGCTGTAAATCAACCCACAGCAAAAGACGGTTTCCACCTTGAAGGCACGACCGCTGGGAAGGGATGTAGCACGACCTTACTGCCCACCTGTGTGACCACCAACTGAACGGAAAAGCTTTCTCCTCCTTAAAGTCCCTCCGCCTCCTCCTGCAGTCCCTCCTCCTTCAGGGACATCTCCCGTACCCCTCTCCGGGCACCGACCCGGTCCCGGTGGCCCGCGTGGCTCCCGCCGTGTACAGTACGTGAGCCACCCTCCCTACGCTCTCGCTCGCTTCTGCTAACAACAGCTGTAAGGATTTTCTCAGCTTTGCAAGTTACTTATCATATTAAAGGCTGGCTGAGTGGAGAAAGGTTGACAGATTTGTCCCTTGGGCAATTATTTAGCATAAAAGGACCTTCCTCTTTTTTTTTTTTTTTCTTTTTTTTTGGTCAGAAGCTAGTTCAAACCACTCAGGATCTCAAACCAATGCTTTTGAACCTATTTCCCCCCTATAGTGCTCCCCAGGTGCTCAGAGCATCCCACCTGCCCAGCGAGCCCGGGCAGAGAGGACACGTGCTCCAAGGAGATGTTTCGAGGCAATTCAGGACAAGTCAGGGAGCGGGTGGCCCACGCGACCTGCCCGGGCTCCGGCTGCCAGCACGGCACCGGTAACGCCGTGCGTTTGAAGAGCTTCAGTGGAGCAAACTAGCAGATGTATTTATGGAAGCTGACGGGATTACGAACCAATCCTCCCAAATCCCCGATCACCTTCCCCAGCCCCAGCAATGTTTGCCGTCCCCGTCAGCCCCAGCGCAGCGCTCCTCCCAGCGCCGGCAGCAAACGGAGCCGGCACGCGTTATTTACATCCAGCCACGGCAATTCCAGCTGAATGATTAAAATCGATAGGGAAGCAATCTGCAGGATAAATCCTTCCACAAATCCAGGAAGGAAAGGTGCCGCGGGGGCGGCCGGCCAGCACACGCTCGGGGACACGGGGGGATGAGCAGCAATGGGAGCAGATGAGCAAAGTCACCCAGACACCTCGCTTTTAGGTGGTGACGGATGAGCAGCCAGCCCGGGGGCTCACGGCTAAGACGAGCCCTTAGAACACAGCAGGGGGCTGGTGGCCGGGGAGGGGGTTTGGGATGGATAGCGGGAGACCGGCGCATCCTGACCAGCCCCGTGGAGCACTGGGGTCCCCCGCTCCTGGCCGAGGTGATGCACAAGGCAGCAAAAAGCCACGTTCCCTGGGGCCAGGGGCTGGGGGCTGCTTCACAGCACACCCACAAGAGTTATCCCCCCCTTTCCCTTCCCCTTTGATCTTTTCCCATTATTTTTTATTCTCCCTGAAGGACTCCAACATCAAGGGCTGTGCTGGAGCAGACAGAGGAATTGCCTCAACAACCCGGGCTTTGATTTGTTTTGTTTTCACTTGTTTTCATCCGAGCTGGCTGGACAGAGGCTGATCCCCATCAGACAGATCTCCATGTGCTGCTGCACGCCGGAGAGCGGAGGGGCTGCGGAGCCAGGGCTGCACACACCTGCCCCATCACCCGGGCTCCCGCAGCCAGAATCCCACGCCAGTCGCTCCAGCATCCCACACCAACCACTCCAGCATCCCCATTGGCCACTCCAGCATCCCACGCTGGCCACTCCAGCATCCCCACTGGCTGCTCCAGCATCTCCACTGGCCACTCCAGCATCCCACGCCGGCTGCTCCAGCATCACCACTGGCCACTCCAGCATCCCATGCCGACCACTCCGGCATCCCATGCCGACCACTCTGGCATTCCACACCGACCACTCTGGCATCCCATACCAGATGCTCCAGCATCCCACGCCAGCTGCTCCAGCATCCCTGGGATGCAGCAGCCAGCTCAGCCTGCTGCAAGTGTAAACTCTTCCCAGTGGAGCAAATACAAGTGGGGAACCCAGTCCCTCCCACCACACTGCTCCAGCGTGGCAGGCGTCCTGCTGCTCTGAGCAGAGGGATGCAGCTCTGTGCCTCACACCTCCACAAAACCAAACAATCGCTGTCTGACCTGCATATAGTGTCAGAGGCGGGTGTGATGCTGGCCGGCATATCGGTACATCCCCAGACACGCTCCTTATCCCTTTGGTACTCCCCAAATTGCACCCTCACCGTAAGCACCTGGCGTGTGCTGAGTCAGCAAGTCTGATGCAAACCCCACCGTGCCCACGGCTTGCCCAGCTGCGGATCTGCTCAGCCCGCAGCCACCGGTGCCCCGGCAGCCCACCCCGGAGCGGCCGGGCACCGTTTCACACTTCATAAAATATAAAGAACAGCATCAGCGTGCAGCCCTCCTGGGTGTAACGTGGCCACTAAAACACGCCAGCTTTAACACCTAAAAGGTAATTGCTTCAGCCCATTTAATATTTAAGAGAAGCAGTAGGAAAATACAGGGTCAGCACCAGCTTCGTCTCGCTTGCGCGCCCACACGTGCTGCCGTTGGGTTTCTCTTTTTTATTTCGCCTGGGGAAGCGTGGGGAGCCGCAGGGAAGCCCAGAGGGGCTGGATCCCATCTCCCCGTCCCCATCCCCGCCGCTGCCTGGGCTGGTACCTGCGAGCCGAGGGCAGCGGTGCCCGGGAGCGGAGGGGAGCTGCACCGCGGGCTCGCTGCGGGGACGGGGCAGCTCAGCGTGGCCACGAGCCCCCATCCCCTGCAAGCCACGCAGGTCGGCAGCCCCATTTACCTTCCTTCCCCAGCACCCCCTGGGCTGCTCGGGGCACACCTTGTCTGCCTGCCCTTTTTCTTCCACTTATTTTGTCATTAAAACATTTGCACTGCTAATGGGACAAATAAAAAAGCCCATTTGTTCCTCTTTATTACCCTGGGAGGGGACAGGGAGAGAGAGGAGGCTCCTCCTGGCTTGAACGGTTAATTTATTTGTCCTGCACTAAATTCTCCAGTCTATTCTCTGTTGACCCATTGCCTGATGTATGACATATTAAAGCCTATATATAACAAAGGGAAGAGCTGTGTAATAGCATGATTAAAGAAATCTGCCATTCTGGCTGCATTTCCCCGACTGTTTGTAATAAAGATGTCAGAGCGCTGAACAGATAGTGCCATAACTCGGCGTGCGGGGAGACAGCCCGCCCAGACCAGGAGCTGCGCCGGTGATCGTAAAAACCTCCACGAAGGAGAGGCAATGTCAACAGGAGCTGCCCCCCCCGAGCCCACCGGCCCCGGCCCCCCAACAAGCTATTCCCCAACTCCGGCTATTCCCAGCGTTTTCTGCTCCTCCTCCCCCAGCTCCGAACCCCGGACCACGCTCAGGGCGCGGAGGAAACCCAGCTCCCGCGCCGAGCAGGGATGTGCCGGGGTGCAGACCCCCCGACACCCCACCGCCCGCAGGGCTGCACCTCCTCCCCGCTCCCTGCCCAAAGCACCATTTCCAGCAAACCTCCCAGTTTGGCAGACCCGGGCAGCAGACCGGGGCAGTTCTGCCCAATTTGTGCTCCAAACTCGGGTCCCCCGGGGCAGGGGGAGGCATCATCCTGCCTAAATCCTCTTGCCTGGGGAAAAGAGAACCTAAGGCGGTCCCCCAGGGCACGGAGGTGGTGGCTGGGTGGTGACCGCACTGAGATCCAGCCCTCGGAGACCGTGTCACCTTGGTTTAGGTCCTTCCCGTGAAGCCATCAGGCTTCACCAGGGCAGAACTCTTGCTCCGGAGGGTTGCAACGGAAGATGTGCAAAGAGCCACCACCCTAGCGAAAGCAAAACAGGCGAAATCACCCGCGCTTCCCTCCACGGCAAGGAAAGCCAGGCGCCGAGAGGCAAAAGACTTTAGAGAGAGAGAAAAAAAAAAATAAAATAAAAATTGGCAAGATGGAGAAGCCAGCGCCAACGCAATCCTTTCCGAGAATCACTTTGCTGACCGATGCAGGAAAGCAGAGGAGCCCTTCCCGGCAGGAGCGCAGTGGCCTTTCGCTCCCCCGCAGCCCAGGGCTAAGGCAAAGCCGGGGATTTAACTACACCCAACGCCACGGCTGGGCACCAACCCCGGCACGGCTGCCCTGCAAAGGCAAAGCGACGGGGGAGCAGGGGCAGAGGCTCTCCCCATCGGTCCCGCTCTCTCCTCTTCACCTCCAACACCAGCACGGCCACCGCAGCCGGTGCCAGGGAACACTCGAGCGGCACCAAAACCACAAGCGCCGATGCCTGCGCTTTCCTCGTAAACTCGTCTCCTCTGCGCTTGGGCAGCGCCGGCGGCAGTACCGCGGCTCCATCCCACCCACCGCGCCGGAGCCACCGGTGCATTTTTCTCTCTGCAACTGTGACCACCCCAGGGACGGACGCATTTGTGACAAACGGGAATCTCCGGCGCAGTGCTAATTACGGATACGCTGTTCCCTCCTCCTTTTAGCAACGGGCAGCAATGAAAAATTAGGGTAAATCTGGGCATTGAGCTTGGGTGGAACTAAGAACAAAGTGTCATTCTCACATCAATTAAGGAAAGGTCACTACATCTCAGAGGCTGTAAAACAGCAGCAATAATGCAGTTTAAGGCTTTTTTTCTCAGCTCTGGTGGGAAAGCAATAAGTCACCCGAGTCCACTGCTGATTGACATCGACGCTCAGGACGCTGCATAATTAATGCCCGTCGGATCCTGCCAGGTGCTCTCCCTCTCAGGTTTTGATGGACGTCCCCATTACTGTACTTGGCTAAATGGCTTCCAGCCCTCCTGGAAACTTTCCCTTTCAGAGCGCTAAAAGGATGTTCCAGGGGGTTTCATCCCTGCTGCTCCTGCCAGCCCCATCTGCCCGCACTCCCCGGGGAGACACAGCCGGGCACCGCGCACCGGCACGCGGGACCCCCGCGCTCAGCCCCTCCTTCTGCCCCAGCCCCGGCATCACCCAAACCCATCTCACAAACCGCTCCACGCCTCGCTTCCCTGCGTCTGAAACGGGGATGCTGCTTCTCCTGCCTCCCGAGGGCACTACGCTGCGGTGGCGGGGCTGTGCCGGACCCAGCCCCCAGCCCCCAGCCG